TCGGAAAAGTTTATCTAAAATTATGTTTTACGTGAAGTGTGTATACGTGAAGATAAGAGAATTAAAGTTAATGATTTGTTTTTGTGAAAAGTACAAACAAATGTGTGTTTTGGATGGTATTCGGCCTCAAAGTTTAATTTCGTCTGAGTTTACAGATTTTTCCTAGTGCAGCATATAGTTTAACAATCTTAAGTCTATATATTTTACGAATCAGTTGAATTCCAATAAATCGAATTTGATTCGAGGATATTTAATTTTAAGGATGTAAACACGTCTCTTCGAATTGTGAATTAGTGAATACATATATAATGACGATTCCAAGATTTTTTTTGATATCTATATTCACCAACGAAGCTACTTGTGAGCCCAGAAAACTTTGAAAACAATTTGCGCGAGCATCATACGTCGATTGTGCGCAATCTTCAAATATTTGGCTTGTTTTAGTCTGTGGAATTTTAAAGCTGACTTTATCGTAGACAGCAATAAGTGAACTTTATTTTATACGATCAATCAGTGCCCCGTGTGATCCTTTTATTATCAGTGGAAAATTTTAAATTTAGCCAGATGAAAGCTATTACAGGATAGAGTATTAATTTTAGATGCATATTTTTACTATCTTCTTCGTCTCCTTACTTGACATTTGCATGCGAGGCATCGATATATGCTGCAACATTTGCTGCTGCCAGTGAATTAATGCATACTCCAGGACTGGACGATGTATAGTTATTTGAATTATATGTATTTTAAGGTAAATTTGTATCCACTGCTGCACAACAGTCCTGTTCCATCGGTTATCTTCTACTAAAGAAATAGATACCACGGTGAGGCTGAAATCGAAAGCCTTTTCATAAAAGGTCACACTCAGTACCATCAACTCATTTCTGTTGCTACAAAAAAGATTTGATTCTGATCATAGAAAACTGCAACAATAAAATTCTTCTAGCTTGTTAGACATAGATTGTGGCTCAAAAAAGTTATACTCCTGTTTAAAGATGGGTTTCCTTATTTTTTAGTGTCAAATTAAGCAAACTATTTGATTAATTGTTGTTTCTAATGAATTATCATGTATTATTAATCATATCATTATGTTCCTATTGCATATAATTAAGATTTTAACCAATCATAAATGTCCATGTATATACAGTCTGGATAAACATAAGACTTTCTTGATCGGTCACTCTTTCGAATTCTGCTAGAAATTCTCTTCTAATTTAGCTGATTATGAATTAATTAAGGACATTATTTTCCAAGTCATTAGAATACCTCTACGTTCATATTCATATAAGTATTAGCATTTTTATTTTCATAAATGAAAATAAGGGAACCCATCTTTAAATCATCATATTACGAACTTCGTACTTACACCTTGACTACTATAGCCACCTTTCTGGTATCACGGAATGCAGCGATTTGAATTGATCGTTCGCCAGCGAATACAGACAATCAGATCCCTTTGCGTACATAATTTATTTTATTCTGGGAAAAGATTAAAATTTCCATTGATTTAAATTCTGAATATTATTGTATGCTTTAAGGAATTCTATTGCGAAATGTACCCTGATGTAGCCTACACGAAATAAATAACATCAGGATACAGTCAGATACAGGGTAAAAATCGATGATCCGCTGCAAAGGAAATACTCTTATTCTTATTTGCAATTATTTTGGATTAAACAGGGGTGTCACCTTTTTTTTTTTATCCAAAATTAACATATTTTACACATGTATCAATTCATGTTATTGCTAACAGTATCGGATATATAAAAGCCCAGGGTTTTTGTGGTAGGACGCAAAACGCCATTCGATTGGTTTGCAGGAGTTTGGTGAGTACATGAACATACCGGTTCATCTGAAAAAAAAATATCTTTGTCTGCATCTGAATATTATATTTAAAATAATATATTTCTCATAGACTAGCAGGACAAAGCCTCCCAATATAAAAACTATTCCAGCTTGAAAGAATGAAAAATTGTGGAGAAACCATGAAAATATGATTGAATGTTGGTTATAGATAAATTCTCCATTTATAATCCTTGTTTTCTTTTCTTTTCTTAGCTTAGGCCTTTAGCAAGGCGGTAAAATATCTGCATAGACATACTCTTAAAGGTGACTATCCCCACGCGATAACACTTTCATACTTTCAGTGTAATTATTTGCGAGTTCCTCATCAATGAAATTGAAACGTGGATAGCAATGCATGATTCACAGTGCATTTAATACTGGATTATGTCGACCTAAATGTTTTCTTTCCCTGTAATAGACCGACAGAACTTTAGTATTTTGTCCTGATATTTATTCTATTCTTTTTTGTAAAAAATGATATTGCATCAATAAGAATTAAATAAACTCTACTAAAGCTTGGCTATAAAACAAATGTATCTGCAAAAGGCTTTTTTGAGGCTAGACTAGAAATTAGTTCAATGATGTTTGTAATTTTTGTGTGGTGGATAGTTGGGTCGGACTGGGGTATCCCCCTTCAAGGAAAATGGTTTATAGTTTGGTTTATTCCCAATTCGCCCCCAATTTATTCCCATTTCGCCACTTCCCATTGTGTGCCTTCCAGATTTGCCCCTTTTTATACGCACACATGAAATGGGGGTGGTCGTATATTGCCGTCACCCATGTCCGTCCGTCCATAATTGCTCGTAAACACTCCAGAAGGCAGATTTTGACGTAACTTGGTGTGAGTGTTTGTTATCACCCAAGGATGAACCCCATTGAAATTCAAAAATTCGAAAAATGTTTTATACGAGCTATTGACCGTGTTCTTGAAAACGCTTTCAATTTTTAGCTCGTAAACCCTAAAAGGTTGCCAGATTTAGACAAAACATGATAATATTATTCTATAATACTATATATGGCGCAATGTTGAATATTTCATACCGGTACTGGTGATTATTACTGTACTGCCAAATATTTTTTATTCAAAATCAAAGCTGCCGGTGGGGGTATATTATAACTTTACCTGGAAAGCTATCTGTCTTTTTTGATCAATCAGTACTTTAGTAGTCTCAGAAACAGGATTTTTTCTTAGCTAAGCCAATCTAATAGTGTTCACAGCTCATCGTCAGAATTATCCAATTATCTGCGTTTGAAAATTAAAAAGACGAGGCTTCTAGGTAGGCTACGTTCAAGACAAAAATCAACCCCCAAATTAAAATGGCGCATTAAAGCAGTACTGAAGTTAGTGTTGAAATGAAAATGGTGCAATGGATGAATGATTGAGTAAATCCAAAAATAGTGAAAGAAACATTGAATTTGTATATATGCGTTATCAAGTACATGTCCGCGTCTGAGGGAAAAAATCAAATAACAGAGCCGTATATATACGGCTCTGTCAAATAAGCCTATAGTTATTTGTGGTCGGATTTGATTTTGCGCTCTGAATTGAGCCCCTTGATAGAATTCTGGAAGATCGCGCATAAAAACAAAAGAGAATGACGCGTGTGAGAAGTATTTCGTGACAAGAAAATCTTCTTGTCTATATCTTTCTAAATTCCTAGAAAAAATATTAGTCAAAATTATGGAACCTGCTAAGAGAGAATCAGGTAAATTACTGACGACTGGGATCTATATTGATCTTCGACATCTCTATCGACAAACTTGAAACAATGTCTGAATAAAAAATGTGAAAACTGGCCACATTGAGTTCTAAATTAAATTTTTTCTCTCATGTCACATAATATATTCAAAATATAATTTTCAAGTGCATACCAATTGTCTTAGAATGCCTTTGGTTCCATGAATGTATAAGTTTTGAAAATTTTGCACTTGAAATGAACATGCTTCTCTCCAAGAAATTTCATGTGAAAATGAAACACATTTTGAACTGAAAATCTCCCTCTGTAAAATCATAGTTTCAAATAATTTTGTTTTCAATGGTTGGCATTTTCATCAACCCAAAGACAATCTGAGACTCTCAGCAATATTTGGAGATTAATATTTCAATTCACACAAAAATGATAGCCAAAATGTGATTTAGAACTTGATGTGGCCAGAGAGTAGGTAGGACTAGGTACTAGGCTACAACACAGACCAAAAAGTCAGTAAACACTGAAGTTGGAAAGAAAACCTTGACGACAATATTTTGTTGGAGAACTGGCCTACTTAAGACAACTCGTTAACATTATTTGATGAGTCAACTCTTCTATTAATTTGGTCTGCCATTCTAGCTAAAGCTTCGCCCCAAAGCAAAGAAATGGGTTGGAATTATTATTGTAAGTCAAAATTGTAGACGAAAGCTGCTACGTTAACACTTCCAACTACTTGGCCATTAACGTCATGTCAATAGCTGATAGGTCAACACAGTGACAGGATTTATGGTCAAATTGTGAGTTGAAATAAAATATGTACTTCACGCATAGAACATATCCACACTAAAGTCCATCAGTGTCAACATCTTGTTAGCTTTATTTATTGCCGACTTTAGATTAATTGGCGAGGTGTGAAAATCGTAAAAAATTTTCTATGCCATTTTTTTTAAAGCTATCAGCAATTTGATTGGCTGTTAAGTTGTCATGGTCAAGGTCATGAACTTACAAAGCTATTATCATACAGTAGCTTGATGTTGATGTGTTAGACCCTGTATATAGGCTTTATTTGGGTCTATTTGTTAGACTAGAGTTATTGTCGTCTTGGCATTGATTGGACTTCATTTCACACAGTAAAGTAATGTCATTTGGATTCTTAGTTGTCACTGCTAGACTACATCTTGAAATGAAATGAAATGCATTAAGGAGCATCAGCACCAAATGGGCTATATAGCTCCATAGACTACATCTTGAGACGAGAAAATGACAATGGATTTTTTAAATGTAATCCAATTTTATTAGACTATCTTAATGATAAAATAACTTAGGGGTAGTAGGCCTATTTATTAATTGACATGTAACTTATTTACAAATTTATTCATTCGCTCCTCGTCCTTTGTCAAAGTTACTCAAAGGCTTTGAAAGGTTTGTAACAATTTCATAATTTTAATCCTTTTGAATTATTATGAAATGATTTCCATTACAGGTAGAATTAAAGAGTCCCAACAGAAAAGAGTATTAGATGAAGCAGCTCGAAAAAGAAGACAAAGAAAAGCTTTAGAAGCTCTTGAATCTGATAACTTTCAAGATGATCCTCATGCTGATTTGAAAATGAGTAAAAAAGCACCAAAGTTTGAAGAATCAATCAATGAAGGAAGTAGGTAGTCCCCAAGATGACATTAAAATACTGCCCCATCCCCAGGAATGAATTGGTTTTGGGGATTCAGATTTTGTGAAGCCTGGAGAACTCATTTCTGAAGCGTCTAAAGGTTCTGAAAATTAAGCTTACTAATACGAAAAGTTCTAATTTTACGAACTGAGTACCTTGTAATGAATGTAAACAATAAATCTGAGGGCCATGACTGAATTTCGGCAAGTTGGGTGCTTTTTCGATTTACTGTGCTGAGTTTCTTTTTTTGTCTACCACATGTTAAATGAGGTCTAACTTATTCAATTGTAGAGAAACGGAATGTCAGATTTTTCTTTGTGGAGAGATACAAATAGTTGATATGAAGATGACTGAACTAAACCAGTAGTGTGGGTTGCAGGGCAGGGGCCATTCCTATCTACAGTGGCCTTAGTCTGATAATAATCTTGTATGCAGCTGGAATTGTTCTTTAATTGTTAGGCAGAAGTTACATCCATGTTAAAAAATATAGTTTGTCATATGTTAATTATTTCCCTTGAAGACTATTCTGGTCAGAGACAGGAGTGGTCTTGGTGTCAGAGACTAGTCAGATGTCAACAATGGAGATGAAAATTAAGCTGGCAAAGGAAAAATGAAATATTTCGTTACCACTAAAGGAACAACAATTGGAGACATTGCAGACTCTATACAATGGTCATGATTGCATAAGTGTTTTGACTTCTGGCTACAGAAAAAGCCTGATTTTTCAGATGCTGCCATATAAGTTTATTGTCACTTTGAAAAGTAGTCAGATTTATCCACCAGCTGCATACAAGGTTATTGTCAGGCATAGTATGGCCGACTTCTTTACGATTGGGCAGGTGCCTTATTCTTGAAAACTTGACATAATATGTTCCAGTTAACGTTCCAGTCATTTGATCACTAAATATTATTTTGAATTTAGTTCTGTAACACTAATATCTGTTTAAGATAAGTTTTCAAGAATAAGACCCCTGCCCTGCAGCCTATACTACTAGACATTTTAACACTCCAATTAAGATCTTATATCAATTTTGAATGAAAATGCATGAACAATGCTGGAAATGTAGCATATTGCATAGAAAATGTATTAAAGATGAAAAATGCTGTCATTTTCAAGGTCCAATCAGATATGAGTGGCAAATACAAATAAATCAACACCCTGTTGGGTTAAGTGTTTCTTTGAAAATTTAGATAAATTCTTTTCCACTACAGGTATGAATGTGAAAAAGAAAAGGAAGTCCAAAGGAGAGTTTAAACAAAGATATCGTAAAAATTTTGCTTCTTTATTGGAAGAAGAGGTGAGTTAAAATCTACTAGATCTCAATCTGACCACAGAAAACTGCCATTATTTTCATTTGCAACTCTCTGGTTATAAGCATCCATAATAGATATGTGATGATTCAGCTCACATTCTTCGAAATATCAAGTTATTACAAACTTTGTACTTATACCTTGACTGCAATAGTGTTCCTCTTAGTATCATTGAAGTTTGTAAAGATATTGATTTCATTGAATTATACGCTGCTAAATAATCCAGTCAGGGGCCTCAACAGAAAGTCTGTGAACACAAAGCATTTATATATCAAATTAAGTGAAAATACACCAAACCTATTGGTCAAATTTATTGACATCCATTATTTGATTCTGCGGTTAACAATACAAACCCTTACCAAACCAGGTAATCTTAATTTGTTGAGAAAAAGGCTAAGGGTAAAATGATATCAACGAATATAGCTAAATTATAAATCAAAGAATTGTGTATTATATTATTAAAAAATACGACCAATAGGTTTGACTTTCAGCAGATAACTATTTCAAGATGGGTTCTCTGATTTAATGAAAATGAAAATGCCAATACTTATATGATTAGAGAGTAGAGGTGTTCTAATGACTGGACACATTTCTATAGGTGTACATACAGTGATAATGATATTATGTTATAAATCATAAGGGCCTAAAATAAGAATATAAAAATACATGGAAAATTATTAAAACATAAATTATCAAATAGTTGCTTAATTTGACACTTAAAGATAGGAGAACCCACCTAAAGAGATACCAGAATTTTTTTTTAGCAATATGTGTTTGACTATGTCTTGATAATAAAAGTATATTCTATAACAAAATTTGGAAAAGAGCTATGAAAAGATTAATCTAACAAAGTTTAATCTCATACATAATTCTATATTTTACATGTATTATTATTTAAGATTGACTGCCCCAAATGAATATTACGATATTTATGAAGGGCATTCTTCTTTGTCTTTATTTTTCTCTTTTTTTATTTACATTATCCTAACTCATATAAGAATTTTATTAGACATGTATTTTAAAAAATTATGCAATATTATATTCCTTTATATATTTATTAATCACGACAAAGAATATACAGGCAAAATACATCATTTTGATTGTAAAACAACTAAGTGGCGATTCAAAAATAAGAAAATCAAAATCTTTAAAATATTATGGCTAATATCAGTATAGGGTCGTTTAACACTAGAGGATTACGGGACAAAATAAAGAGACATAAACTCTATAGGTGGATAAAAGATAATAAACTTAAAATCGTATTATTACAAGAAACACATAGCACAAGAAATGATGAAAACGCTTGGCAAAATGAATTCGGTGGTAAAATATATTTCTCACACGGGAGAAGTAACTCTGCGGGTATAGCAATCTTGTTACCTAAAGAGGCGAATGATATTAATGTGATTAAGTATGTAAATGATGATAACGGTTATTACAATATCTTACTTATTACGATAGAACAAGAATCATATATTTTAGTTAATACATACAGCCCTGTGTCTGATAAATTACAAGACAATTATTATAAAAATCTAAAACTACAATTACAAAATGTTGTGGATGAAAATTTTAATAGGATTCTATTGGGGGGAGATTTCAATAATGTTTTTAACAAAGACATTGACCGTCTAGGAGGAAATTATAAAGTTAAAAAAAAGGGCCTAAATGAAATGGAAAATATAATTCGAGACTTTGATTTGATTGATGTATTCAGACAACTTTACCCTACGACAAAAAATTTACATGGAAACAAAAATCCCCACCCATCAGTAGTCGGATTGACTTCTGGTTAATATCAGAATTGAATTTGAACTATATAAAAAAGACTGAAATAATCCACAATACTTTAAGTGATCACTGTGCTATATCCATTGAACTTAATCACAATGTTGAAAAAAGAGGGCCTAAACTCTGGATTTTTAACTCTACTCTAACCTTAGACAAACACTATATAAATTTAATTAGCTCTTCTCTTCATAAGTGGGAATCAGAATACTACGATAGAAGTGATAGGAGAGGTCTATGGGATTTTATAAAATATAAAATAAAACAACATACAATTTTGTATTGTAAGGAAAAACAAAAAGTTAAAAGAGAAATTAAAAATAAACTTATTAATGATTATGAGAAAATAGGAAGTGAAATATCCCAAAATTTAAATGTCGACGAAGAGAAACTAATAGAATACGAAATTGTTAAGACCAGATTAGACAATATCTATACGGAAGAGGCAAAGGGGGCCATATTAAGATCAAAACTTGAAAATTATTATGAAGGAGAAAAAAACACAAAATTTTTCCTGAACTTAGAAAAACATAGACAAAACTCTACTAATATATACAAACTTTTAAGAAAAGATAACTCGTTGATTCAAACAAATAAAGAAATTCTGATAGAAATCGAACAATTCTATAAACAGCTATATTAAAAAAATAATGAAAAAAGTCAAAGTGAAATTAATTTTTTAACTTTCAAAAACGATCATCCCATATTAGAAGAATACGAAGCAGAATGCTTAGAATATAAAATAGACGACGGTGAATGTAGGGAAGCTTTAAATACTCTTAATTTAAATTCATCACCAGGCAATGATGGCCTTACAAAAGAATTTTATAGCTGTTTTTGGCCATACATTGGTAAATATGTTCTAAATTCTTTGAATGAATCCTTTGAAAATAAATGCCTTTCGCAAACTCAAAGACAAACAATAATAAAACTTTTACCAAAACCTGAAAAAAACAACTTGAACTAACAAATTGGCGACCTATCTCACTTATAAATGTTGATGTGAAAATTGCTAGTAAAATACTTTACCTTAGAGTCAAACAATTTCTTAGTAAATTAATACATGCTAACCAAACGGCTTTTGTTCCAGGTCGAAATATAAATGAAAACATACGGAGTATAGATGATTGTTTTACACTGGCACAACAGAAACGAATTACAGGAATTTTATTGGCAATCGATTTTTCTAAAGCCCATGATTCAATTTGTCCCTTATACATGTTTAAGTCTCTGAAATACTTCGGTTTCAAAAAAAATATTCTTAAGATGGATTGAAACATTATATAACAAATTAGAATGTGCAATAATGAATAATGGTTTCACAACCAAATATTTCCCAATAGAAAGAGGTGTTCGCCAAGGTGACCCCATATCACCGGTACTATTCAATTTTGTCATCGAAACCCTCTGCCTATTTATTAGAAATGATCAAGAATATAAGGGAATCGAATTTGGTACGAAAACGCTTAAAATGGTTGCATTTGCTGATGACCTTACTTGTCTAATGAAGGATTTTAAAACAGCAAGACATCTACTAGAAGTAATGAAACAATTTAAATTAATTTCTGGTCTATCAATAAATCTTACAAAAACTGAAGCATTTAATCTAAATAGCAAGTGTAAAAATATATCAAAATGTATCTCCAACTTAGGACTAAACCTATGTACGTCATCAATTAAAATTTTAGGTATTCATTTTACAACAAATAATGCTTTCAAAGACGAATTAAATTTTAAGAATAAACTCAACAATATAGAAAGTGTATTAAAAAGATGGGCTAACAGAACACTAACATTAAGAGGCAAGATTTTGATACTTAAAACATTCTGTATATCAAAAATAGCATTACAAATCCAATCACTTTTCGTATCAATAGAAATAATTAATAATTTTAATCAAATTTTCTTTAAATTTCTATGGAATGGGAACGATAAAATTAAAAGGGATGTGATATACCAACCAACTCAGAACGGGGGGTTGGGCATGATTAATTTTGAAGAATTTTTGGCGTGTAAAAGCCTATTTTGGGTGAAAAAGTTATTCAATGACGAATATCAGCCATGGAAGGAAGTATTAGAATATACTATTATGCCATACAATCCGCGATTATTATGTACATGTAATTACGAATCTAAATGTATAAATATAAAATCCCAATTTTACTACCAGCTTTTTAAAAACTGGTATCAAATCTATAACCAATATATTGATTTCTCCAATTCAATCCCAAATAGCATATTTTAATAAAAATGTCAAAATAAAAACAGATGAAAATATGATCCTTAATATGATAAAGAAAAATTGTATCTTTGTTTCGACGACGGGATACACAACGTTACAGATAAAACGAATAAGCACACAAATTATAAAAATGAAATATATTCTACTCTGAATAATGTTTTTCTTAAAATGTATCAATGTGATTTTCAAAAAGTTAAAGCCCGCGACATGTATCATAAGAGAATAACCTCCAGATTTGTAAGACCAACAGCAATAGATAAATGGGAAACGGAATTAGATATATCACTAGATCAAGAAGCTATCAGAGAAATATTTAAAAGAATCTACTTAGTCTGTCCAGACGAAAAAACTAGAAACTTTCAATATAAATATATTCATAAAATAATATACACTAACGAGAAACTATATAAAGTATTTGATAACAATGAAATCGCGATTAATTTAAATAAAAAATCTATACATTTGGGAATAGACCTCAACCAAGTAGATAATCTTGCCCAGTACCAATTTGTTAATCACATTATTATCTTAACAAAATATTATATATTTAGATGTAAATGTAATCAAATATCTGTCAGTCCAAGTCATCTAATGTCATATATGAGCTCGATAGCGTCTATAGAAAGAGAACAGGATCAAATAAACCATGATAAATTTAAATTATTTGATATTGTATTATAGGTAAAAATAGCATATGTATTACTGTAGTACGAGTATAGCATATTTGATATTGTATTATATGTAAAGTGTAAAAATGTGGATACTGTAAATAAACTTATATGTAAAAAAAAAAAAAAAAAAAAAAAAAAAAAACACAAAGCTGGCGTACAATCCCATCAAATTGTCGCATTCCATGATACAAGAATATTGGCTATTGCAGTGAAGGTATAAGCTGAAGTTAGTACAGTCAACTAACCTAATTTCATGCTAACCAATTTTTCGTGCATTTCCTGAAATGATTAATAATTTACATGTACGACCTCGCGTGACCTCCGCATTTGCTTGTTTTGATAAACATGGGTTTTATCTACAATATCAGCTAGTAGAATGAATCCATTAGTTTCAAGCAAGGTAAAATGTATTAATGTATACTTTGACAAATACAAAATGGCAGATTTCACTTATTACCAAACGTCACCCTTTTTTTATCGGCCGAATTTCCTTATAATCCCAAGCTGTAATCGGAATTCCAAGTGTCATCTGCTAGAATGTAGTCCAACGAATGAAGTCACGTGATCAACTAGCGGATTCCGTGTCAGCAGAAAATTTCTATGGAACACAAAGTGAACCATATTCTTTTGTTGTTTCAGTGACTTTTAGCAATAGAAAAAAGCTACGTATCTTATTTTGTCAGTCACTATTTTTTTTTAAAATCGTGGTTCTTTGAAGGAATTGTCACTAGAAAGGTTTCCTTTTTTTTTCAGTGTCAAATTAAGCAAACTATTTGATTAATTGTTGTTTCTAATGAATTATCATGTATTCTTAATCATATTATTATGTTCTTATTGCATATAATGAAGAGTTTTAATCAATCATAGATGTCCATGTATGTACAATCTTTCTTGATTGGCCACTCATTGGAATTCTGCTGGTAATTCCCTTCTAATTTAGCTAATTATGAATTAATTATAGACATGTGAGACAAACTGGTATTTTTCCACGTCATTAGAACACCTCTACTTTCTATTCATATAAGTATTAGCATTTTCATTTTCAGAAATGAAAATAAGGGAACCCATCTTTAAAGTCAATTATAATGATACTTTCTTCCATTTCACAGCAACTACAAAATAAAGATCCACCAAATTATTTTAGTGCTGCTGTTCCACCATCTTCACTTCCTCCCAGACATTTCTGTGCTGTATGTGGATATCCTTTTTATTTCATCCAGTTCTCAGTATGTGGAGATCAGAGTTATCATCCCTTCTTCTTAATATTGATAGGAGAGCTGAGGTGATACACTGAGTTAGATGTTTACTGTTTAACCTGACAGGGACTGACATGGAAAAACGTTTTAGTTTTTCAGATTTGACGCTATACCTAATCACCAAAGTGCTACAGGGTGCGCATGTTAAACATCCCTTGACATTTGTAAATTGGGTAGGCTTATGCTGCTGTCCTGTCAAAATTTCCCTCATTGTACTCTGCATGGTGTCAACCGTATTCTTTAGCTCATACGATGCAAAAAAAGTAGAACATAAAACACTTCATTTCTTTGTATGGATAGTGTTGTAATTTTTTTAGTTTTACACAACATCTCTCTGTGTTTAGAAGTGTCACCAGTCACGAAATGCAATGTGTAGCTTATGTTCTTTGCACCCAGGACTGACTCTGATATAACTGCTTGCAAACACACTAGAATCAAAATTCTTTTGATCAAACTTGATAAAATTGTTTCTCAACAAATAATTTGAAATATTTGATATGAGTTACTGCTCTTGTTTTTAAAAATATGTTTCATTTATAACTCATCAATTCCTTAAAAGCCACACACTTTTCAAAACCTGTTGAAATGGATTATATGTAATATTTAGACCGATTTTAAGTAAAATCCGAAGATGAAACATAGTATCATCCACAGATGAGTCGTTCTTAAAAGCAGAAAAAAATCAGTATAATTTTTTGGTAATTATTGCTTTTGATCTGATAAAAAAAAAAAAAATTGACTATACCATGTGATATCACACAATGTTAATGTCATATGGTTAAATGTTCTATTTCATTTGCACTCAAAGGGTTAAATATCTTGTTATTGTGTATATCAGTGTATAATAGAACCATTTTTCCTTAACTGTGGAACATTTTCATCTAACTTTACCTGTGTACAGTGTGGTGCTAGATATTGCTGTGTTCGATGTTTAGGTACACATCAAGATACTAGGTAAGCTTATGTTTTCTCACCTTATTTTATCTTATGTAAATGAAACATTTACTTTTGACCTTTGGCCACTCAGTTCCCCCCTGTCAATGATACATTTTGGAGGGGGTTTTCAAGTCATTCAGATAGGATAGAGAAAAAGACCCCTAAAAGGTGTGCACTTTAAAGGTCCGTCAACAGTTGGAAATCACATGAGTAGGCTGATGCCGCTGTCCTGGAACAATTTCACTAATTGCACACTGTATATTGTTACCCGTTTTCATTAGCCCATAAGGTGCAGAAAAGTAGGAAGCAAAACTCCATTCATTTCATTTTTGGACCTTTGGCCTGATCTATGCGAGGCTGATCATTATGTCCTTTAAATCATTTCATCAGCATGTAATCTGGAATGTTATTTTTCAGGTGTCTGAAATATACAGCATGAGAATCTCTAGCTAGAAACTGCAAATTACTTGTTATTGCTTTATGTTTGAAGCTCATTTTTCACTGCTGGACAGTCACTTTCTCAAACATACATTGTTCCTGAACAATTGAGCAGACCAGTACAATATTTCATGGTTTTTAGTGCATAGTGATAATATTGTCACTATGTGGCTTTTTTATCTCTAGTGATCTGCTGGTCAGACATGTGTAAACAAACAGAAACTGTTATCATAATTAATCTTAATGCTTCTGGACACCGTTTTGTATGACTAAACTGGCACGTTAAATAAACGATATTTTTGACGCCAATTTACACTCTTTATGCTATTACGTTAATCTACGATATTGAAACGGGGTCAAGAACTTCAAAAGAATTGAAGACATTAAAAACATTAAAGTGTATGATCCTTGAATTAAAATAATTAGTCTTTTATTGATATAGTAGTAATATGAACAACCAATCAGAATATTTATATGCCTACATTCAACCCTTTTGGGAACGCAATAGAGGCCCCAGTTTTATCCGATTTCGATAAAAGTTCATATCCATGAGACCTTAGACAAGTTCTAATTTGGGTATAATTAAAAAATGATCATAGATTTTCAATCCCTGATACACTGAAATGATGTTAAACGTGTTAAAGGCCGAATGTTATAAAATTTTGTGTGCAGTTTTTTATCCAGAAGATCTTGGACATGATGGAATTTGGGTATGATTTGACAAATATTACTGTAGTTTCATCAACCCTTGATACACTGAAATTATCAAGTCATTATTTGTGATCAACATGTTATCTTTCAAAAGGCCTGTAGAATTCTGTGCAGTACTCAAACTATCTAATTGTTGTTGAATATGAATGTGTGAATAGTTAATTTACTAACTGAAAACATTTATAGTTACATTTTGCCGAAATTTTTGTGTTTTTATTCAATTATCAACTTTCAACTTATTTTGCTATGGATTTATATTAAAGGGACAGATTCGGCATTTTCAGGGGTTGATTTTGATCTTGAAAATATGTATATAGTACTAAGAATGTACTTAAAACGGATAATTCCTTAAAAAATGTCTCAAACTAGGAATTTCACTGCCTAGTACTATACTGCCAGTGCTTCTGTCTTAAAACCTTATACTATACTATATTATTATGTATCTTTTGTCAGACAGTCACAAGAAAAAATGAGTGTCATTTTAGCATTCAAACACGAATAAACATCATGTTGATGTAAAAATACTGGTAAAAGAAAGTTGTAAGCTCCCTTGTATTGAAGTGGTAAATTCAATGTCAATACGCCACTGGGTAAATTCAAAGTATTTAAATGTAGTCTGATTTATTGAGCAAAGTGATGGAGGTTGCCTCCCTTTACGTTGTAGAAATCGATGTTTGTGTCGTTCTAGATTGTCTAATTATAAATACAGTGTATGTAAAAAGTAGATCAATAAGATAGTTTATTGACCTATAACATTCTGGTGGGATTAATCAAACACCTGCTTTGAACTCTATTTATACATGTTAATCTGGTCGTAGGTAGGCCATAACGGTTTGTCAATTTATCCTGCTCGTTGATTCTGAAAATTTGTCAATGGAATAAAAAGTGCGAAGTTAAATATCAAAATAAAACATTTCTTTAGTTACCAGTAGATTGGCATGAAATGTGGCTAGCCTAAATATGTGCGCAATGGTGTTTTGTTGTTTTTTTTTTTTTTTAAATCAAAATTTGATTGAAATTCTTTTTATGCCAACTTGCAGTCAGATATGATTATATTTACAAGTTTTTAAAATCCTTTTTTTTTATAAATCATAGTAACTATTTAGGTCTACTTAGGGGTCAATACTTGGCTAGCTTCTTCTCTGGATCCCTGTATTCATTTTGGATAGGCTGAAAGAAGATTTGAAAGTGAAATTCTCCATGGGTCTCGAACTGTAATTTCTGGATGACGTAGGTAATAGATTGATTTGAGTAGGAGGATTATCAGCAATGGTGAGGAGCGACACTTGTAAACACTAGAACAATAGCTTACTGTTAGAAATCTATATTTCCATACTTAGACCATATAACTCTGTGATAAATTTAAACTCCTACTCATATCGGCTTTAAATCATTGACTAGATTGGGATGGTTGTTTTCCTTTAGTTCGTTTGGCGATTGTTGGCAGCTTTTCAATGCTTTGTTTCATTTTTTGACGTAATTTTCTGTCCAAAGCCTCGAGATTCATTATGATGTGACGTCCAGTGAGTTCTGAATTTTCTTTCACAAGTGTATAGTATTTGGATGAAAGGTTATTTCAAAGTCATTGGCTCTTAGTCCAGCGTGGATATATTCAGTCGCATTTTCATGAATCATAAGGTGTAGGGACCACAGAAATGTCAGTTGGAGGATGAATGGTGTATGGCTCGCAAAACCAGATTATTAGATAGTTAGGGTTGGTGCTGTGGGGGCAAATTCGGGTCAGCCCTAGAGAGATCCATCATTGGAATATTGTTTTCACCAATGACCCTAGATAGATCCGTCATGAGTATATTGTTCTCACCAATGGCGCCAGATAGATCTGTCATGAGTATATTGTTATCACCAATGGCGCCAGATAGATCCGTCATGAGTATATTGTTCTCACCAATGGCACCAGATAGATCCGTCATGGGAGTATAGTTCTCACCAATGGCGCCAGATAGATCCGTCATGGGAGTATAGTTCTCACCAATGGCCCCAGATTGGCCCGTCATGGGAATATTGTTCTCACCAATGGCCTTAGATAGATCCGTCAGTGGGAATGTTGTTCTCACCAATGGTCCTAGATAGATCCGTCATGAGTATATTATTGTCACCAACAGCTCTCGTCCAATGCAAAAAGATAGATCTGTCATGAGTACATTGTTCTCACCAATGGCTCTCGTCCAATGCATCAAGATAGATCTGTCATTAGTATATTATTCTCACCAATGGCTCTCGTCCCATGAAACAAAATAGATCCGTCATGAGTACTTTGTGTATATTGTTCTCACTAACGGCCCTAGATAGATCCGTCATAGTTAGATTGTTCTCACCCTGAATCCGTCGTGTGTATATTGTAATTACCAACGGCCCCATTGCTGCCTATTGCCTGAATCTTTCATAAAGTAACCCTTGAAATTGAAAATTACTCTTACATTACTCGTGTTGTGAATATGTAGGTCTGTTGAAAAGCAAACTTCTGCGTATTTCCCAGAAAGAAATTTTATTAGATCTAAAACGATAAACCTTGAAAAAATTTTCCTTTTATAAGAAATTGTATCACATTATATATAGATAATTTCCAGGGAACACCCCTGTTCTATTTATAGAACATTGAAATTTGTAGCTCTTGACACAGATAATATGTGTTTACTGTATTCATAATCTTATATAGCTATACATAATGGCTATTTTTAGCACATAGTTATTTTCCATACGAATGACCTATTTGAACGGGTAGCTATGTTTTATATGTCTAAATATAGAATTTTAAAATTGAAGCTATTCCAGGATTATGACATAATAAGTTGTTTATGATATAAAATATTACACAAGGAAGATATAAAACGTCAACAAAAGAAACCCATAAAATTTTGTTACGTAAGAATTTTTTTTTTTTGAAATAAGAAAATGTTTGAACTGTGACAGTGAATAAAAGCAGCAGTGATATAGATCTTTCAATACCCTGATTTACCATAAAAAAAAATCGACGCCAAATCAAAATTCTGTTGAAAAGTGGGACGTAGCAATACAGTTCACTAATGAACCGAGAATCAGTTGCGACGCCATCCTTTCGAAACTGGGGGTACATGGAAGACTGTCTTTCAACTGTCGATGTTGATATTAAAAACTTGGCAACTCCGAGCAAGTGCATAGGCGTATGGAGAGCCTGGGAGTGTTCTCCCTCGAGAAAATTTATGAAACTAAAATTGATTTGGTCTATATTGGGAAATAAAATCGTCTATAAGTCTATCTTAAAATATTCTTTTATTTTAGGAAAACTAACAAAATAAGAAATTGATTCCGGTCAATTGCTTTGCTGATTGGCAATGTAGGCCTATCATAACTATAATTAACTTATCATAAATGGAATCTCTTTTTTGTAATATAAAAGAAACGACTGTTTGTATAGATATACAGTTTAAAAGTCAAGGTCTTGTTATCTTCGTATATTGCGTTATATTGAGATTCCGGATGTAATTACTTAATATAAATATTCACTTGTATCCGGTTTTAAATATATGCTAACTCAAGGACCCCTTCAGTTTAATTATGGGGTACCTTTTATTGAATTCTATTTTAATTCAGATGTTGATATGCATGATATTTCTGCATGAATTTACACATGTTGATAAAATTGATACAAATTATCTATGTTGATAAGTATGATTAGGCCTATACGTGATACAAATTATACACGTTGATAAAATATGATACAAATTATACATGTTGATAAATTATATTACAAATTATGCATGTTGATAAAGTATGATTATAAAGTATGATACAAATTATACACGTTGATAAAGTATGATACAAATTATACATGTTGATAAATTATAATACAAATTATGCATGTTGATAAAGTAT